ATCCTGTATGAACTTCTTTACTTCCTTAATTGGGTGTTCAGTGTTTATCCTCAAATCCCTTAGTTGATTGGTTATGGTTTCCTTGGATTCCCATTCCTTCTGTTGGGTTCCATTCAGCATTCCCTTTGTGGTCTTCCTGACTTCGTACAGCTCTCTGTTTATGGATTCCATGAATGCCTTTAGTGATCTTTGTGTATTCTCATCCTGCTCTCTCAATTCCTGTATTACTCTTTCGCTAGCTTCCTCACGTCCATGCAATTCCTGTAGCTCTCTTTGAGTGTTCTCAGCCTGCTCACCGCCATTCCTGACGTTCTCTTTGTCTGTTCTAGGCCAGCTCCCACAATTCCTGTCTATCTCTTTGACTGATCTCAGCCTGCTCATGCCATTCCTTTATTTCTCTTTGAGTGTTCTCAAGCTGCTTACGCAATTCCTGTATCAATCTTTGAGTAGCTTCCATGTGAGGCAATTTTTATCTGAATAGTTTTTCTTGTTTAATTGTATTTTACTTTAGATTCTCAGTCTCAGTTTTCCAATCTGTAAAATAGGGAAAAAAAACCACATATTACCAGGTGGTTTTAGAACTAAATGGCACAGAGCTTGTTATATAGGAGAAATTTGGTGAAATTGTTGATACTAAAAAGTATATTTGGCCCTAAATGAAACTACTACATTTTTTCCAATTCATATTAAGAAAAAAATGTAAAGAAATGATAGATAATGAGTATTCTGATGCCCATTTTTTTTTCTGTTTGATAGCTTTTCCCCTTATTGCTAACCCATTTCTCTGATTCTTGAGAAATCAGTGCTCCTTTTTACATTTTGCTGGTGAAGAAGTTAATTCTAAGGAAACCGGAGGACATGGTCAAGGCAACCAAAGGAGTCTTTTTTTTTTTTTAAGTAGAACGAGTATCTAAATATAATACTTTTGCATACAGAATCACTTATGAACCTGAATTATGCATTCACCTAACCTTGACAATTGACTCAGAGATTGGGTTTCCCAGGTGCCCATGGTATAGATACATGTGCTCATTCTCCCTTATTTGTTGCCTCTCAGTTTTGAATGATTTTGTTCCCCTGCTGTGCATTAAGACCTGATTGTTTCTCATATCCAAGCACTTCCACTAAGTCTGAAAAAGAGATAAGAGTTACCAATTCATGGAAAAGCAATGAAAATAGAATCTAGACTAGCTGTCAGAGTACTTGTTATCTATAGTTCCTTTATTCATTTTGCTTTCTTAATGTAAGAAGAAAATGAAGTGATTTTATTTAGCGCCAACTACTGTACATAAAAAGTATCTTTCCATTGAGGTCTTTTTTCAAGGGTCATATTAACAAGAAGCCAAATTCCTCCTTCATGCCAAGAGTTGTATATATTTTCCTGTGTATTTCTTAAAGAGACAGCTTGTGGAAAACAGGAACTTTCCAGTATTTTAACTGTGTTTTAGAGTACATCTTTTTTTTTTTTTTTGGGTCCAGTCGTGGGGCCTGAACTCTGGGCCTGGGCGCTGTCCCTCAGCTCTTCAGCTCAAGGCTAGTACTCTACCACTTGAGCCACATTGCCACTTCCGGGTTTTTTCTTTTTGCTTATGTGGTGCTGAGGAATCGAACCCAGGGCCTCAGGCGTGCAAGGCAAGCGCTCTACCACTGAGCCACCTAATTTTTTTTTTTAATTATTTATCCTTTAGACTTTTCAACCATTTTGACAAATGCTAAAGACATTATAGTACTGCCATTTTAAGTCTGATTTGGGATAGGACATCATCAGGGTCCAAGTAAATTACAGATATTCAAAGTTTAGTTGATGTCTACTAGGGATAAAGCTCAGTGATAAACCACTTACCTGTCTCAAGTGATGGCACCACCAAAAAAAAAGTTTTTAAATCACTTGAGTAGGAGAACATAGCATGCATCAAGCCTTTGCTTGTTTTTTTTTTTTAACAATAAATACTGAACTCAGGGATTCAAGCATGCTAGGCAAAGCTTCTACTAAATGAGCAGTTTCTTTTCTTTTTTTAAATTATTGAGATAAAGTCTCATTACCTTTGTTGTTCAGGCTGGCTTCTAACTGAGATTCTCCTATCTCTGCCTTCCAAATAGCTGGGATTACAGCTATTGGCACCATGATGCCCAGCTTCTAAAGAGTCTATGAGAAAAATAAGTACTTTTATTTGGATTTCCTTATCAAATTTAATAGGAATCAAATAGTAATTCCTTATGCTTGAACACTTGGGTTAAAAAAAAAAAAACTGTGACCAGATACAAGTTTCCGAAATGATAGTCACTGCAAAGTGTGAGCAGATGGGAACCGGTCTATGTCAAACACAAAGAAGCCTGTGGGAGTTTGAGAATCATATTGTGCATCTATCTACTTGTTGGCACTCACTTGATGTCTAGTGATACCTCATTAACATTTCTTCTGTGGTTCTGTTTTCTTCTTTTTTCCTTGGTACATTTTGAATTTTTAAACCTTTAAGTAGCTAAGAATTCTGAATGTGTGCAATTCTTTGATTAAGGAAATGAATGCCCAGAGGTGTATATAGTTCTTTAAAACATTTTTATACTCTTTCCTTTAATGTTGTGGTAAGAAATACTTGTTTAACATGACACTTTGAAGACATTCCAAGCTTAATTTTAAAAAGATTAAGTAAATATCAAAGGTCAGAAATTTCTTATAAACAACCTTTTTCAATTCACCACCTTATTGTTAACATAGATGAATACTCATGAATAATTTCATTTGACTTTCTAAACTTGAAGTGAGATAGTAAATGTGAATAACTTTTCAATGTTTTTACTTTTTTTTTTTTTTTTTTTTAAGGATACACCTGCCAGCACAGAGTTGTATATCTGTAATTCCAGCTACTTAGGAAGAGTATCTTGAGGCCAGCTTGGGCTACATAGTATATTCCAAGCTAGCCTAGGCTACAAAATGAGACCCTGTTAATCAATCACTGAATCAGCTAGTCATCAGTCTGCCTTTTCTTTGATCACTTTTTCAAGTACCTCATTTTCATCTGGAATTATTTTATTGGCTCAAGTTTGCAATATGGAATTTGTTACTGTGGTAATGTATAGAAATGTAGATATCTGGGCTGGGAAGGTGACTCAGTTGTAGAGTGCTTGCCTCGCATGCATGAGGCCCTGGGTTTGATTCCTCAGCACCACATAAATAGAAAAAGCTACAAGTGGCACTGTGGCTCAAATGGTAGAGCAGAGCGCTAGCCTTGAGCTGAAGAGCACAGAGAGAGAGCACCCAGGTCCAGAGTTCAAGCCCCATGACCAAAAAAAAAGAGTAGATATCTTCTGTGTGCTGTGACATAATCCAGCACACTGAGTTTAAGGTAGTAAGGTTTTCCAAAAGCAGTCATTTTATTTATTTATTTTTCCCTCTAAAGATTCAGTAGACCTAGTCTTGATAAGTTTTTATCTTGGGTATTTTCTTTTATAGATTAGATGAAATTGCAGATAATTTCTGTTTGTTTGAGCAAGATGACTAGCGAGAGCATCTTCTTAAGAAAGATGACCCTTCCATGTCTCACTTTACAACTCACTTTGGTATCTCTTTGTTATAGTCTTGACAATAACATTTATAGACAACATTTATTGACTAGCATTTTCCTTCAGCATTCTCTCTCCCTATATTATCCAATTATACTGTACTTTTCATTATATTTGAAATTAGAGGTACCTGTCTTCCCAAGGCAGTTTTATATTGAATGAACTCGTATCCTCTAAAGTGGTGGACACAGCTTCACTGAGAGAAAATAAGGAAGGACAGCTTCTATGGCAAACATTTCTGAGCTAGTTTTTTAAATGTAGATAAGGAGAGAAATGTAGATAAGGAGAGAAAAGACCCAGAATCTACTGCTAAAACTTAATGACCTTAAAGCTTAATGACAACTACAAAAATGTTATTGTAGTTTTGTGGGGCTTTACAAATTATTTTCTACCTTATAGGTAAAATATGACTCTATTCTTCTTGTTAAAACATACAAGGACAAGTAAGAAATACTCTTGTACTGCAGTTTAATACATGTACCTCCTGTATCTAACTAGGGCTACACCAGACAATTATAGAATGACTAGTGTTCAATATTCTAAGAGCAAAGACTGTGTAGTATTTCTAAATTTTCCTTATTTAACCCAGATTTCCCCAAACCAAGGAAAAGTTGAACCTCCTTCCCAAGGTTAAGGAAGAAGAACATGAGCAGAGTGGAGGTTGAAAATTGAGGTTAGAAATGAAAGTTCTTGTCCAAGGAGACAATTATAATAAGGCATTCACATGTATGCCGCAAATAACTCATTAGAACCACGAATAAATACATCTAATTCTTGTTTATAGTTATATTCATCTACATAGCTTTCTACTAGGTAACTATCATTTATGCCTACTACATTATTTCTAAATGTGGTACCCTGTTTACTAGTGAGGAAATGGAGACTCAGAGAGGTAAATAGTGCTTTCTGAGGGCATATGCTAATTAGGGATGGTCTGGGTTTGGATTCTGTTCCCACATAGGTTCTGTTCTTGTAATCAGAGTAGTTTCTTACATGAGTATAATTCTTTATATCTTTGGGTCCTGAAATAGAATAAATATTTTAAATTCTTATTCTAATGTCATTCTGATTTCCTAGGCATCATCCCTTTTGACAGAGAAGATACTAAATATCCACAGATCCTGAGTGCTGGCCACCCAGAATGGCCTCTGCTTGTTGACTTTCAACCCAGATTGAAGGGCTCAGGAATCTAATGAACAGATAGTTCAGTAGGAACTCTTTTGGACAGTTAATTTTTTTTTGTTTTTGTTTTTGTTTTTTGCAAAAGCACAACACAACATTAATCTCCACATCTTCTTAATTGATATTAATGTTATAGCATTCTGGTTTCAGGCTCTTGAGTAGTTTTTGAGGTTTGTTTGGGTCATTGAAAACTTTAAATAAATGAACTTTTGGAATATTTTTGACTGAGATTCTGCACTGTTTTTCCCTTTTTCTAGGTCTATTATTAGCAGAAGATTTTTCTGCATAGTTGGCACTCTGTACCTGTATCGGTGTATTACAATGTATGTAACTACACTCCCAGTACCCGGTATGCATTTCAACTGTTCTCCAAAGGTAAACTATTCCTCACTATCATTTCCCTTTGTTTTGTTTCTCCTTGTATCCTGGCTTCTTTCACTAAGGCGGATGGTGACAATTTATTCAGATACATTCAGATTCCTCCACCCTCCTGTGGGAACTTTGCTAAACTTTAAGGCCAAGCACCCACACCCTTCCTTAGAATTTCTAAGCCCTGCTCATGTCACCCAGCTGAGGACCTATGTGTTGTAGCTGGTGTGTTGGAAGCTGCTGAATTCTGTGTGGGGGTGTAACACTTTGGTTTCCTGCCAGACATTTTAAAATATCATCCACTCCCTTGACACACATCCAGGAGCTTTCATATGCTCTCTCCTTCTCTGAGAAGGAAAGCTTAGCTTCAGATGGTGTTTTTTCACCCTTTCTTCTTCTCTCTGTTAATCTGTATATCAGGGTAAAGTAAGAGACAAGTGTTCCTGTCCCTGACACTCCTCCACCAATTCCAATAAGAGTACTATTCTCTAGAGGGAGGTGTGACCTTATGTCTACTGCCTTCTCTAGTTGTGGAATTAATTGGGATATGATGAAATCTCAGAAGATTTAATCTTTAAAATGTTTATATACATTAAAGCTCATTAATGTAATAAGAAAATATAAAGTACAGTCCCATGTTTAAATTCATATTTGCATTATACCTGTATGATGTGATAGCGGGGCGGGGGCAGGGGCAGGAATTGGTCCTTTGTGCCTCCTTGGAGATGGCTTCTTAGAGAAAAGTATTGGAAAAGAGGGGCTGGAAAATTGCCTCTGGACTTGTAAAACGACATCTTTATCACATGAAGTCTGAATGCCTCTGGTTTATTTGTGCTCTGTGGTACCTGTTCCTTCTAAGACTTGCCATGTGTGTACAGTTACTTTCTTACTTAACTCTCTGTATGTTTGCTGTATACTGCTTCCTGAACTCTGGAGGAACTGCTCTAAAGAACAAATGTCTCCCAACATTCTACTCTACTCTATTGGCAGTTCTTCCCTGCACTCATCTTATTTGTTTATGTATTTATTATGTTGTACTGGGGCTTGAACTCAAGACCTCATGCTGCCCTTGCTTGGCTTTTTCACTCAAAGCTGGTGCTCTACCACTTGAGCCACAGCTCCATTTCTGGCTTTTTGTTAATTGGAGAGAAGAGACTCATGGATTGGTCTGCCCCAGCTGGCTTTGAACCACAATCCTCAGATCTCAGCTTCCTGAGTAGCTAGGATTACAGGCGTGAGCCACCAGTGCTGCCTGTACTTGCCCTCTTACTGTTTCATCTGTCCTTCTCAAGAAGCCAGCCTCATGTTTTTTTGGTCCTCCAAGAAAGCTTCTAGAATTTGTGTATGTCACAGTTCCCAGAGTATAAGAAATGTCTTGTTATCATTGAAAGTTGATGTGGACTCTTGCTGGGAGACTGGCTTGATGAGCAGCATGTTGTCATAGTAAGAAGATGGTTAAGAGCTTCATGTTAATGTAGTTGAACTTTTTCAGAGTGTGTGTGTGTATGTGCTACAGATGTGTAGGTAGATGCAGGTTCTGAACAAGCACATGGAGAGGATGAATCTATCATTGAGGGGGTCATGGATGTACAGCGCTTCCTCCTCATTGCTTCTTGGCCTTGTATTTTTCTGAAGACTACTACAGCTCCAGCCACTGGCAATCTGGTTAAACTTATTGTGGGTGTGAGCCATCTGTGTATCTTACTGCGATCCTGTGGCTAAGAAAACCTTGTGAGTTTTCCTGATAGAGCCAGAGACAGCAGGAAAGACCAAATACAAACATGTCTTTTACTTATTGTGTGGCTGTTAGTCCCAACTATCACCATGGAATCCCTAGAAGTCTTGTGGAAATAAAAATCTGAAAATAATCATGAGGGGTAAAATACTAGTATACCTTTGCAGAAAGTATCACGATTTACTATCAGATGCCAGTGGCTCATGCTTTTACTCTTAACTACTCACGAGAATAAGATCTAGAGAATCACAGTCCAAAACCAGTCCAGGTAGAAAAGTGCAGAAGACTTAGTTAACTAGCAAAAATACGAGATTAGAAGTATGACTGTAATGGTAGAATACCAGTTTTGAGCAAGAAAGCTGTGTGAAAGCACAGTGCTCTGAGTTCAAGTCCCATGGCTCTCTCTTTCTCTCACACACACACACGCAGATAGTTTTGTTTTCTTTGTATGTTCTCCCTGTGGTATATCTCCTGTTGTCACTGTATTTGATAGTGGTACCTTGCATCTTATATATACATTTGTCCAATTTGGGGACGGGAACGGGAATAACAAAATGCTGAAACAAGGACACAGGATGACCCATTGCAACAATGATACCCACAAGACAGTATAGTGGAAAGGAACTTTATAACTTCAGAGGGTGGGGAGGCGTGAGGGAGGTGGGAAAGGGAAGGAATAGTGGGAGAACAACAGAGGAGGGAGTAACAATTCTTGGCAAAAAATGTACTCATTAACTTAATTCATTAACTGTATTCCCTCTATACAGCATCTTTACAATAAAATGAAATTAAAAACACACAAATTTGATCCATCTCTCTCTTCTTTTTCTTTCTTTTTTCTCTTTTAAATGTGTTTTAAAAACCAATCTCAGACAATGTCGTTTTATTTTCTGAAAATAATTGGCATTTTATTGTATAGCCATGATACTATTGGTTTTCAAAAAAAATAAAACCCCAAAACAATGGCAGTTCTTTGATATTGGCAGTTATTAGTTCACAAATTATCCTGGTTGTCATAAAACACCTTTTTAAAAAGTTAGTTTGTATTCTTTAGGATCCAATATCCTTACTTTTGTTTGTTCCATTTTCAGTTATATTTTTATCATCTTTAAGTAGTTTTTCAAAGGAGTTGCCATTCAATGAAGTATTTTTTTAATTCAGTGCATCGGACTTAGTATTACCCTTTTTCACCCCTCATCCTTCACAACTGTATCCCTCCCCTAATCTTCATTTTTTTCTGTTTCTTACATCTAAATTTAGATCACTTCTTCTCTATCCTGGCACTGATGACTTGTAGATCCCTGGGCCTATAGAGCCTGCATGCCCATCTAGATTTATCTGACTGCTTCTTTGTGGTGTCAGTGAACTTGTTCCTCTCTTTTCCATATGTCCTCAGAATAGAAAGTCGTCTCTAAGACTCCATTACTCAGTTTTAACTTTTTTTTTTTCCAACAAGAACACTTATTGGGACAACAGGAAGATTTCTGAAACCAGACAAAAGAGTTGGGAAATATTTTGAAAGCTTGATAATATCCCTGGATGGTAGATTGAGTTTTAGTGTTCAGGCAAAGGCTAGAATATGGTCCTGTAGACTTGTGTCTAAAGGGTAACATGAGAGATCTTGAAGACTAGCTGTGCTTATTTTAGAAACATACCTGTGCTGAGGAAACTGATTAAAAATCACTGGGTTCAATATTCTACTTGATACTGAACCATCATCATTGCCAAATCTCCATCAACTTCTCTCTTACCCATAGTACACAGAGGAAATTTACCACCCCTCTAGACACCCAAACTTACCTAATACTGGAAGATCACTGAAGTCAGGATTAAAATAGCCTTGCTCACATTTACAAGCTATGTAGCAGGTATTTTGGGTGGCCATTTAACTTCCTAGATTTTTTGCTACTGAATTGGCAAAGCAGATCTAACTCATAAGGCATTGTAGGTGAGTAGAGACAGTATATAAGGGATCTGTCATCATCAAGTGCTGTACAGAAATAAGAAGACTTACTAGTATTGTCACGCTTCAACTTTTAGATTTTAGCCAGTGAGAGCCGACTTAACAATTTTCATTAAATACCTACTGTGTTTAGGTACCAGAGTATAAGGAATGAGCAAGGAAGATATAGTTCCAGTCTTTGTGGAAAACATGATAAAATTTGCCAGGTTCAGATTTGTACTTCATCTAATAAAGTTTTAAAATGATATAAGGGTCTCAAGTTCTATTCATGGACAGGAAGGGACCGATTTGAATACAGTTTATAATAGTCACATGGATATAATTTGGTAGCGAGTTAATGTAGAGTATGCAGAGAGAAGGGAGACATTTCAGTGACTGGGTTTTACCGTTGGGATAATTATAAGGCAGCAGGGAAAGGGAATTTAGTGATTTTTGAATTAAATACAGGGAGTGCAAGGATAGTTAGAAATGTAGGTGTAAAGTTAAGGTTAAAATGAGGCTAGAAAATAAATATTTGTGGTTTATCATCTTCTAGATTGTTAATGAAAACTCTTTAAGTATGGAAGAAAGATCCAGAAACAGGATGTAGAAAATGTAGTCTTTCTAGAACTAGATATTTCGAACTGGATATTTCCTGATTTGGGGCAACATTTAAGCCATGTCTGTTGGTAGATACTCAAAGTTCTGTCACCACTAAACTTTTAAAGGAAGTTCAGCTTTAAAAAAGGCTTTTCTGAATAGTCTAGTCATGCAGTTTTTCCACCATTACTGTAATCCTCCTATTGCCAGACTTAATCTTCCTTAATACCATTGCTTAGCTTTCACAGCTTGTAAGAATAATGTTCCAGCAAATATTCAGTACCAATTATGAAAGTCAGGCTTATTGTTTATTCATTTGATTGACAGCAGTGTCCTCACAAAATGTAACAGCTTGAGATGAATATCATGAGATGGTGGGCATAGGATAAAGAGCAGGCTCCTCAACATTGATAAGCCTCAGAGAACTGTGGTAAGGGAAGTAGGGGGTGTGTTTAGTTCCTGGATTAGGAGTTCTGGGTGGCTACCAAAAGTCAAGATTACCTTGATTAGCCCGTGTTTCCCTAACCATTTTCCCCCTCCCCCTCTCCCCACAAGGAGCATGTATTTTATCCCCCAAACAACCTCTCATTTTGTTACAACTGTTTAGGATTCAGTTTTTTTTTTTTCTTTAAGAGTAAAAGCAATTCAGAATTCTTTGATGTTGTTTTTAATGGATTTCCTTATGCTATTTTATTACATGTATATGGTTTACTTTGAACATACTCTCTC